ACCGGGACCGCCGGCACCTGAGCGCTGCCCCCGCGCGGTCCCGCCCCCCGGTAGTCCCCGTTAACCCCTTCCCCCCCGTGTGTCGCCCCCGGTTCTGCCCCGCCGGGGCCCGACTGGAGCTGCCCACGGCCGGGATGCGCCGCCGCGATGGTACGGACGGGACGGGCCGGGAGCGGGGACCGGCACCGCGGGCACCGGGGGCACCGGGCACACCGCCACAGCGGCCGGGAAGGGGCCGGGACCGGCGGCACCGGGAGCGGGGAGAAGGGACCGGGGGAAGCGGAGGCGCCGCCGGTGCAGGCAGGGACGGAGGTGACACCGGGGACTGCCGGGGACCGAGATCGGCGGCACCGGGGACTGCCGGGGACCGAGATCGGCGGCACCGGGGACTGCCGGGGACCGAGATCGCTGGCACCGGCGCGGGGCCGGCAGCGGGGAGCGGCGCTGGGGATGGGGAGCGGGGCGGCCGAGCCCCGACGGCGGCGGGAGCGTCACCCGGAGGCGGAGGGGACGAGCGGGGAGGGACGGGGCTGCGGTGGCACCGGGGATGGAGCTCTGGTGGCAGCGGGAACGGGTCTGTGGCAGTACAGGGGATGGAGCTGTGGTGACACCGGGGATGGGGCTGCGGTGACACCGGCGACAGCCCCGGGGCTGGGACCGGCTCAGCCGTGCCTGCCCCGGCCACACGGGAGCCCCGGGGGACCGGGAGCCGCCTCTTCGCGGGAGCCACCGGGAACCGGGGGCATCCCGCGGGGCCGGGGCTGCCGGGATCCCCCCGGGGCCGCACCCCCCATCCCGGGGGACAGCGGCGGGGACGCGCCCGGCGCGGGGCGTGCCCGGTGCCCGCCGTGCCAGCCCGCTGCCGTGCCCTCCCGTGCAGGATGAGTTCCACCCCTTCATCGAGGCGCTGCTGCCGCACGTCCGGGCCTTCTCCTACACCTGGTTCAACCTCCAGGCCCGCAAGCGCAAGTACTTCAAGAAGCACGAGAAGAGGATGTCCAAGGAGGAGGAGCGCGCCGTCAAGGACGAGCTGCTGGGCGAGAAGCCGGAGGTCAAGCAGAAGTGGGCCTCGCGCCTCCTGGCCAAGCTGCGCAAGGACATCCGGCCCGAGTGCCGCGAGGACTTCGTGCTCTCCGTCACCGGCAAGAAGGCGCCGTGCTGCGTGCTCTCCAACCCCGACCAGAAGGGCAAGATCCGCCGCATCGACTGCCTGCGCCAGGCCGACAAGGTGTGGCGCCTGGACCTGGTGATGGTCATCCTGTTCAAGGGCGTGCCGCTGGAGAGCACCGACGGCGAGCGCCTGGCCAAGGCGCCGCAGTGCGCCAGCCCCGGCCTCTGCGTGCAGCCCCACCACATCGGCGTCACCATCAAGGAGCTCGACCTCTACCTGGCCTACTTCGTGCACGCGCCAGGTGAGCGGTGCCAGGGGGCGCGGGCGGCGCGGGGACCCCTCCCGCGGGACCCCCCCCCGGGGCGGCCCCGCTCGCACAAAGCCGCG